TTATGAAGCAGATTGTACTGGGTTACACCTGATGATAATATAGAGTTTAAAATTTTTAAATAGGAATGGCTTAACTCTAAAAAAATTCCTCTCCAAATTTCTAATTTCTAGTTCAAAATTTCTAAAGACCCTTGATCTTGAAAATCCTTTCTTAAAGAAAAGCAAACAAAAGTTGTAATGTTTTAGAAAAAGTATTACAATCTAAGCATCACGCACAAGACAATTATAAAGAAGCTGCAGAACTACCAATTTTTCTATTAGGTGGAGAGGAACCCAAGAAATGGAAAACATGTGGTGCTAGTCATTATGCCAGATGGGTGGCACATTTACTGTACACACCAAAGATGTTAATCTTTAAAAATGAATTAATGGAAATTAATGGAATCTAATTTAAGCATCATAGAAATCTTTTTGACAGCACACACCTTTTTTTTCATTTACATTAAAGCTTGGTTAGAAGTATCAAATGCTATGCAAAAGTTACTAATTAATGATATAGAGTTATTTAACGACCTAGAAACTCCTAAAAGTATACTAAACTTCTGTGTAGCCGCTCAAAAAGCCCAACAAGTTTTAAACAGACACTCATGGTATCTAACTGAACAGGTTTATTTTCAAAATGATAAAAAAAAGGTTACAAAAAAATTCCAGTGCACTTTTTTAAAAAACACATTTTAAAAAATGTTAGATTTTGAAAAACTACCTCGTATCAATTGCAGTAAACCAACTCTTCCATTAATTTAAAAAAATTCTAAAATATTTCTTATATTGGAAAAAAGTCTTGGTTGATTTTCACAACTTAAAAGATGATGGAAAATGGCTCTAAACTCCTTCATCGGAATATGAGTTCTGACTATTTGAAGATGAAGCTAATTGTCAAAGGTATACCAGAAAATTAATTAATAACTTAGAAAAAAATTCAACAGAAACAAAACAAAACATTTAAAACATGTTGAAATAATGTTTTTAATGATATAAAATACTTCTATTCTTTAGGACGAAACTGTACGAAACGATCTTTAACAAAAATCACAGGAAAATAAGTACAAATAACTGCTTTTATAACTCTTTTTTTATAGGATAAAATATCTTGCATTAGAAGATAATTACGTATTTTAATGAAAAAAAATTATTTTTAACAAATATTTTTTATAGAAATAAAAACTATTATTGTTTCACTAAGTGTAAAATATTGTTCCATGTCTTTCCATTTTGTTAGAAGTCTTTCCTACAAAATTTCAATTTTGACATACTTTAGATTTGAAATAAAAATAATCAAACAAAATTTGGCAGCACTCAATAATGTTTTTATATAATTTTTTTTATATAGATTATATTTTTATATGTAAAGGATTGTATTTTTTTGCAGACAAGTGAAATTTTTGGCAAATTTTGTTTTTGGCCTATCCTTATATTATATGTTATACATATATATATATATATATATATATATATATATATATATATATATATATATATATATATATATATATATATATATATATATATATATATATACATATATATATATATATATATATATATATATATATATATATATATATATATATATATATATATATACATATATATATATATATATATATATATATATATATATATATATATATATATATATATATACATATATATATATATATATATATATATATATATATATATATATATATATATATATATATATATATATATATATATATATATATGTAAATATTTATGAGTAAATATATATACAGGTGTACTATAATTTTTAAATATACATATAATATATTGCCATTTCCACGATAGAAGAGATAAATTTCATGTTTAAAAATTTCTTCTTTCAAAAAACTTTTTTTTTTTAGTTGTAGTGTAAACACCTTAAAATTATTGTTAAAATAAATTTTGAGTAGAAAATATTCGAACCAAATAGACAAATTTGATGAATGTTAGCAACTGTTTTTTCTTTTTATCATTCAAAAAAGTAAGTAAAATTTGAGGTTATTGTTATAATTAAACAGTTATTGCAATAATTAAACAAAACACATCTATATTTTTGTTCAAAACGAATCTTTGAGATTATATATATATTTTGCGTAAAAAAACTTTTACTCTTTAAAAATAATATCATACACATCTGCAAAAATTAGGTTGCGTCACTGAACTAAAAGCTAAAAAAGTATAATTATTACAATTAAATTAGGCTTTAAGGCGATGTTTTTTTTAAATTATATATTTTAATGTAAACTTTTCATCACTATTCAAAAAAGGAAGTCAAAATATCATCCAAAATATCAAAATATAAAAGTCAAAATATCATCGTTGTGGTTTTTATTCGAATAAGTTTATCATTTTTATATTGTGAAGGGCTATTAGTAAACATTTGTAAATTATTGGATTTATGTTGGCATTTTCCTAAAAAGTTGTAAATTTTTAAGGAATGGAATCAAAATTAGAAGTAAAAAAAACCGTCATGCAGAATACCAAGCTAATTATGTTTCTCGGAATGTTGATAAAAAGAAAGAAATATCCAGAGTAAGATCTAAGAGATATCGAGAAAAAACGAAAGCGGATCCAAATAATAAAGCAGCTTATGCTGCTAAAGCAAAATTAAGAGTTTTAAAAAATTGCGCTCTAAAAAGAAAATTTTTAAATCAATATCAAAGACTAAGCTCATTCTTTAAAAACGTTCAACAAAGAGGAAAAGCATTAAAAAAAGTTTTAAAAGCACTACCAACTTCAAAGAAGAAACAATCTGAAATTTTTTCTATTCTTTCAAATAGCTCTGCTTGTAAAGATAATTTGGGTCTACCTCCAGCATGTTCAAAGCTGTATAGCTTTTTTTTGAAAACGATGTTTTAGCAGTTGTAAACTTTTATAATGAATATGAAGTTTCCCAAGTATCACCAAACAAAAAAGATGTCACTCAAATTCAATTATCTGACAAAAAAGCAAACAATATTTAGATACGTCATTCAAATTATACGCTAAAAGAAGCTTTGAGTTAATTAAGGAAAAGCACCAGCATATAAAAATTAGACTCAGTAAATTTTACGACCTTCGTCCACGCCATGTAAAACCAGTTACAAAATTCCCGCATAATGTTTGTGTTTGTAGTATGCATGAAAATATGCAATTTGCCTTAGATGCATTAAAAAAATCAATTCAAGCGTCTTCAATCAATGTTGGATCTGAAATGATAAATAACTTTGTTTGTGAACCGTACACATACAATTGCACCTATGACAAATGGGTTATGTGCAAAGGTATGAAACAGTTCGATAAACACTTGCAAACTGTTAATATATTTGGTTTTGAAGTATCCTGGGACGATTGGAGAAATCCTGAAACTAAAACATATATGTTTTAGTTACAGTAGACTTTTTTGAAATTTTTTCAATGTTTGCATATATGCAAACATTGAAAAAATGCTAGGTGTTTCTTTCAAAATGAACCACAAGCAGCTTATTTTGGTCCAAATCAAATTTCTGTTATGACCCTTGCAGTCTGGAACATTGAGTTAAAAACATTTGCCATAGTTTCTGATTCAACTGATCATATAAAGTCTTCCATTATACAATACATTGACAAAATCCTTCACTTTATTTCTAATCAAGTCAAAGAAGTACACATGTTCAGCAATAATGCCACTTCTCAGTTCAAAAAAAAAAGCATTATGGCTGCGATGGTTGTGTTCGAAAAACATTTTCATAAAAAATTCTACTGGCATTTTTTTGCAGCGATGCACGGGAAAAGAGTGGTTTACGGAATAGAAGCTACTGTTAAGCAAATTGCAGCTCTGAAAGTTAAATGTAGTCAGTGCGAGATCAGGTCAGCAGCAGATTTTGTTTAAGCATTACAAGATTTGCAAATATCTGTAATCATATGTCAGAAAACGACACAAGACAACAAAAAAAATGAACTTGGATTCGGTTCAATTTTAAGTTATTTAAGAAAAATCAAAGATATATCAAAATCACATTATTTTTATGTTCAGAATGATAAAGTTACTCCAATGCTGTTTTCACCTGAATATAATTAAAATTTATTACAAAATAACAAAACTTTCAAAAATGATTTTAATTCCATCTTTTTGTTTCGCCACTGAATGTTGCAAACTTATAGTTTTTTTCTGTAAAATAAAATGATATGAAAACTTTGTTGTTTGTGGCTTTTTTTATGACTGCTTATTGCCTAATGAATAAATTATAATAAAGAAACCTAACTTGTCAAGCAAGAATTAAAATTTTAGCGAAAACTCCATTTAAAAGTATGCTGATAAAAAAAAACTTTTTTCCGCATTGCGTCACTGAAAAGTTAAAACTAAAAAGTTTTAACTTTTGCTTTGTGTCAGAGTTATGTTTATCCAATTGTGTTTAATTTATATTATAAAATTTTAATTCAAGAATAATTTAGAGTAATAAAAAATCATTTTGAAGTTAAAGAAAAATTTTTATTAAAAAAAGTCTCTTCGCATGATTGCGTCATTGAACTATGGAATTGGCCATATGTATATTTGAAAATTAAAAAAATATTGGATATACAAATAAAAAATACTGGACTTTAACTAAACTTGTGCCTACAGTTACTGATGGAGCAGCTGTTTTGATTGGTTTAAAAAAGGAATGTAATGGCAAATAGACAGTGATGAATGGCAAAAAAAGATAAACAGTTTTTATTGTGTCATTTAGCAAGAATTATTTTAAGATTTAAGTAAAGATTTCATGATTTCAAAAATTTCAATTCATGATGTGAAAATTTTTCTGAAAATTTGAAAATAAACTTTAAAAAGAAAATCTTTAAAAGTTCACTTTACTACTTTATGTTAGTATAAAAGTGGAATGAATAATAACAGAGAAAAAATAATCAAAAAACTTAAACAAATTATTGAAATCAAAATTGCACAAAAATGCTTATTTTATAAAAAAAAAGTTGAACTTAAACAATATTTTCAAGTTCGTAAAAAAAAAGTTCTTAATGAGTATAATTTCTTGCTTTACCTTTGTATGCATAACATTCCTTGAATTCTGTAAAGCATTTTTTATCCAAATATCTTGTTCTATTATAAAATCCATATCCATTTGATATATTACAGCTTGACCATATACTCCATTGTAACAAAGTACCTTCAGTTGTATAGTAAACTATATTATATATATATTAGTTATATATTATTTACGTAAATATAAAATTATATTATATATTATTTAACTACTAATTTTTAGTGTAAAACAATAACAAAAAAAATCAGTTTAATATATATGTATATATATATATATATATATATATATATATATATATATATATATATATATATATATATATATATATATATATATATATATATATATATATATATATATATATATATATATATATATATATATATATGTATATATATATATATATACATATATATATATATATATATATACATATATATTTATATACATATATATATATATATATATATATATATATATATATATATATATATATATATATATATTATATATATATATATATACATACATATATATATACATATATATATATATATACATATATATGTATATATATATATATATATATATATATATATATATATATATATATATATATATATATATATATATATATATATATATATATATATATATATATATATATATATATATATATATATATATATATATATATACCAAAACTTTCAATAAAAAAAATACCATAACAATTTTTGTGGTTTCTTTTCATATATGCACCAAAGAAATATATAATTTTTTTTTATGGGTACTCCTTTGGTTAATCCCAGCAATCAGAAATTACAAAAATTAAAAATTTTTGTACATATGAAGAGGGCAGGGTCAATTACAAATATTTCAAAAATACCTTAAAAGTTATTTTTTAGCCTGATATATTTAAGTTCAGATTATTTTTTATTTTTTGCAAAAGATGATGGGAATGGTCAATCTTACTCATTTGATTAAATGTGCGTTTATTTGGGAGGTATGTGCATGTGGGAGGGGGGTGGGTGCAAACAAATTATTATAAAATTACTACGTATTCAAAATTAAAAACATTTTTTACAATTTTATTTTTTAAAAAAGTCTATTTTAAAGTTTTTAGCCAAGATTTCTCATGTCTGAAATTTTAGATGATGATCAGCAACAACCAGTTAGCTTGGTTCTTTAATTCTGAAAGTTTCAATGAAGTCTTGACCAAATTTAATAGCACGTTCTGCACTGTTATTTACAATAAGAAGATCAATCGTATAATTTTTAAATCTAAAATAACTAGGAAATAAGTTTCAGTTTGATGAACTGATTTTCAGCCATTTTGCCTCATGAAATATCATTTTTAATAAATCAAAAAAAAAAACAGCTTTCAGAACCAATAAAATCTTGATTGTTATTTTATTTTCATTGCGAATGAAAATTTTAGAACTCAGTTTTCCCATCTTATAACTGGCAGGCTTAGTCATTTGAGATACTTTAAGAACTAATTAATGTAACTTATCTACAGTTAAACATTTATCTGCTAGACATTACCACAAATCTTTCATTGAAATACGAATTGTGTTTTTTAAGTGTTTCAGTTTTGGTCCAAGGCAGAACTCAAAATATTGTATCATTTCATTAAAAGCTTGAAGACCTGAAAAAAGGGGCTATTGCAGGGATAGGAGCTTTAATAAATCATAAACATAAAACAGTGCTGTAAATGAAGCTATTTCATGAATCAGCTTTTCCTTATGCAACGATATTATATTAGGACATAAGTTACTGAATAGTGGCTGAAGTAATGGGATCATACACTAAATAAAATAATAAAATCTCTGTGCCTTAAACCTGGCATGATGTGAAGCCATCAGAATACTAAAACAAAAGTCACCTGACCAAAGAACTGCTAATTTTGTAAAATATTAATTTCTTAGAAATATCGTTATTGATACAATTTTGAATTTCTTAGAAACATCGTTATTGATACAATTTTGAATTTCTTAGAAACATCGTTATTGATACAATTTTGAAGAAATCTCAATGGTTCAGAAGCCTAAATTTTTAAAAAACTTTGTTATTAAAACTTAGTGTCAAATACATTAATCTAATCAGGAAAACTAAACCAATTTGATTATACAAAAAAGTAGTAAAAAAGTATAAATTAAAAAAAGATTATACAAAAAAGTAGTAAAAACTATAAATTAAAATAAATATAACAAACACCTGATATGTTTGTCAGTTTTTCTTACATTATGAAAGGATTTCTTGCTTTTTGACAATTTTTTTTATATATATATATATATATATATATATATATATATATATATATATATATATATATATATATATATATATATATATATATATATATATATATATATATATATATATATATATACTGCTAGATACCATGCAAAGTTGACACTGTTTAAAAAGATATTTTAAGGCGACATAAAATTTTTTTTTTTTCAATTTTTTAATACATATTTAAGATAAATAATATAAAAATAACATGTATAAAATATTATATCATAAATTTATACATGTTTTACCTCTAAAATCCTAAAACTTAGAAAAATTGTCGCCTTTAACTTGCAATATACACGCAAATATACACTAACGTCGCCTTAATAGCTATTTTTTTCATTCTCATTCATATACGGATCTAAACTTAGTGCTTATTTTCCTCTAAAAATATTTCAAAAATAAAACTATCCTACAAAGAATAAAAACATGGTAACTAGGTTTCATGTTTGCAATTGTTTTAAAATATGCAAAGCGCGGGAATGACTCAATATTTTACATTAAAAATTAAAGGCGACGTGATTTTGTTGCCTTTATATATGTGTCACCTTTATCTCGCAATTTTTCATACAAAGTGTGTATATATATATATATATATATATATATATATATATATATATATATATATATATATATATATATATATATATATATATATATATACATATATATATATATATATATATATATATATATATATATATATATATATATATATATATATATATATATATATATATATATTTGGGGTGTACCAGACTGGAAAGTTTGAATCCCGGCCAGAACCGGATTTACCGGATTTGTCAAAATAAATCCAAACAGGTTTTTTTAATTTTAAGATTAAAGTGAAAGCCTGTCACATAACTAATAATCAGAGGCCATTCTACAAACAATATGAGGGGGTGAACCCTTAAAAAGTTCCGATTCTTTTTTTTAAATGGTCTTCAAAACTAAAGTTAACCTGACCGAAATGTGTCGATTACCCAACTAGCTGACTATATTCCTCCAAAATCTTCAAGTCTTATGCAATTGCAATCATTATGTGAAATACAAATGTATTTTTTTCATTAATAAAATTTTAACTGGAACTAGTTACATAAAACTATACAAAAAAAGCTGTTGTTACTAGTACGTATAACTTAAAGAAACACTGAATTAACTTGATCTATCTCAAAAACGTTTAGCACAGCATCACTCCATATTTACAAAAACATCATATACATACATATGATGAAGCTAAACAAGAAGAACAGAAAATTAGAAAAAAAAAAAGCTGAAACACAGCAAGAAAGAAAATTAGAAACAATAAAGTTACAGACACAAACTAGCATAATTGATTTTGTTTGTAAAAAATTTGGAACATAAACAATTTGCGCACCTCTAAAGTTAATCAAAAAATAATAAATTTAATAGACAATCAACCTTTTTCTGTAGTTGAAGATCAGGGGTTCATTGAATTGATTGCTCACTTACAACTACAGTACCTCATTTAGAATAGAAAATTTTTTAAGGAAACAATGCTACCATTATTATATGAAAAATTAAAAACTTTAGTATTTAATGACATTTCTTCAGCTAATTATATTTCATTCACAACAGACATTTGGACAAATACCCACAGTAATGATGCATTTATATCATTGACTGAGCATTGGATTACAGAAAATTTTATTATAAAAGATGTGTGCTACACTGTAAGCATCTTCCAGGGTCCCACACTTCAATAAATATTTTAAATTTGTTTGATGTGATGCTAGTTGATTGGGATATTTTCAAAAAAATAAATAAATATAGTCTTTTGTGACAGTGCTTACAACATGCACATTGGAATTGACTTGAGGGAATCCCTAGGCATCTCATGTTTTATTCATCAGCTGGAGCTAGCTATCAAAGATGCCCTTTTTGATCAGGTTACAGTATATGACATGATAAAGATATGCAGAAGCATTTGTACTCATTTTAACCATTCAAATTTAACTTGCACTAAATTAAAAAAATACAAAAAGAATAGGATTCCAAAATCTCCTCATCTTTATTATTAATCCAATATGTTCCAACAAGATAAAACAGTGCATATTTAATGTTGGATCGATTTGAGACGCTAAAAAAATCTATACAACTTTACACAGCAGACCACCCTTATTTATTTAATTTAATATTAAGTTCAAGTGAATGGAAGTTAATTGAAAATGTATTGGGACTTTTACAACCTTTTTTCATGATTAATGATACCATTAGTAAAGCAAAATCAATGTTGTCATCAGTAATTAGCCATATTTGCGCCTTTTAATAACTGTCTCGGAATCATTATAGACGATTCTAGAGTCCAACCAGATTCATGAGTAATGTTCCATTAAAAGGTCACTTTAATGTACTAATGAGTAAAGTACATGTTTTGTTCACAGCTGTTGATCCAAGGTATAAACTGTCACTTTTCCCTGATGAGCAAAAACATTTGGCTAAAAGTTGGTTTTTGTCTGAGATAAGGGATCTTACCAAATCACAAAAGACAACAAACTTGACTAATATGACAGAAATGGATTCATCTTCCTCTGATAGTGCTAATTGCTCACCAACCAATAAAGAATGTCAACTGTCTTCATCAGATTCTTAGCCATCTGCATCAAATTTATGAATGATCGCAAAAAGTTTTCCAACTATGAGTCAGAAGAAAAAAGTGAAAGTAACCCCAAAGGTAAAAATCAAAGAAAGATTATTGTAATTGCAGATGAAGAGATAAAAAAAAAATAGATTATTTTATGGCAGGGAAAAGAATAGGTTAATTAGAAAATGAAGAAGCAGTGTAAAAATGGTGGAGCAATAATAAGGATTACTATCTTAATATATGCAAAAAAACTTTTATCTGCCCCGCTTCATCTCTCTATTCAGAAAGACTTTTCTCAGAGGCAGGTAACATTTTTGATGAAAAAAGAGCCAGGTTGTTGCCCAAAACTGGAGAGCAACTCTTATTTTTGCACCATATTATTCCAAAATTTCCTGAAATCCTTAATTAAATGTTTATTGCAAATAAAACTACACTGTGTTTGTTTAGAAACTTGTATTTTTTACTTAAGTTTACTTGCAGTTGTCTTGTAGGAAAATACTTATGTTGCCCTGTTGGACAATGTTTTTTGATTTAGTTGACACAGTTTTTATTTTGATGATAATTGTGTGTGTGTGTGTGTATATATAATATATAATAAATATACAACATAACTACATATAGATACTATTTTAACTTGTATGTGTATTTACTTTTTTTCATGCGATTCTGCGCATAAACAATAATGGTGTACTATTAAATATGCGCGCACATGAAAATATTATGTTGCTCTGTTGGCTAGTGATATTTTGAATATTGAAATAAAATTGGCTAGTGATATTTTAAATATTGAAGTAAAGGGTCCTTCATCAGTGACAACAGCAGATTACTCATGCGTTACTAGCTTTTATAATAATGATAGTATATCACGAGTCATGCCCGGAAAGGCAGACATTGTTACAGTTTATTCAAATAGCTGCAAAATTAAACTGCAAAAATGCCATCTTGTAATGACGGTTGCTGAAGCATACCAGACTTTTAAATCTGAATTTTCAAATTACATAATTTAAATAATTGTAAAATCCAGGTTTGCCTCAATGCATCCAAAGAACATACTTTTAACCAGTGATATGTCAGAAAACGTGTACGGATACAAATACCATAGCAACATTATTTTGTTACTGGACTGTTTACATCGTCAATATCCACAAATATTTCCGACAGATTCAGATATGGGAGTTTCCTAATGTTTTACCTTTACTTTAATATATATATATATATATATATATATATATATATATATATATATATATATATATATATATATATATATATATATATATATATATATATATATATATATATATATATATATATATATTATATATATATATATATATATATATATATATATATATATATATATATATATATATATATATATATATATATATGAATATATATATATATATATTATATATATATATAAATATATATATATATATATATAAATATATATATATATATACACATATATATATATATATATATATATATATATATATATATATATATATATATATATATATATATATATATATATATATATATATATATATATATATATATATATATATATATATATATATGTATTATATATTTGTTTTTGAAGTGATAAAGATATAGCATTTTTATAATAGTCTTAATTTATAATAATATCTATAACATCTAGTTTAATATATTAAGTAAATAAAAATAAAACAGCTAAAATTTTAATTAAACAAGTTAAGGTGTCATCAAAACAAAAAATGTTAGTTTACAAACTACAAAAATAAATTTATAAATAACAATAACTATAGCCTTATAATAAACTATAACTATGTCCAATATGTTAAAAACTATCAAATAAGAACATACTTGATATAATTGCTTGATTGTTGACAATAAAAACGTTTTTTATTGAGCCATTTTGAGAAACATTCCATGGATTTGAAGCGTACAATACAACATTTTTAAAACTTCGAACTTGTGTGTTGATTTCAGATGCAACATATGTGTCGTTTACTTTGATTTTATATACATAACTTCCATTTATGAAGATTTGACTGATCTCAATTTTTGACCATTGATTTAATGGAAGTGCAAAATCGGTGCGAAATATGAAATTGGTACCATTATGTAAGGCTAAAATTAGAAGAACTCCAAGATCATTAAGCCAAACTCCAGGATAACCAGTTGTAACATCATCAATGATAAATTGAATAATACTGCTAAAGTTGCTGTTAAATGAATAAGGAATGAAATCAAATGAAACTAAAAATTCTGGATTTAGTATTGGCATTTCAGTGATATTTTTTGATTTCTCTAAAGGAGTTGATATGTCCTCTATTACATTGTTAATCATTTGACATGCATCTAAAAATATTTACACATTTTTTATACCTATTTTTTCCCCACTTTATTGTTATTACTATTATCACTATTATTGTTATTTTTATTATTATTATTTTTTTTATTAGTATAAGTATTCATCCATCTATATATCAAACAAATGAATATGATTATATTTATTTTAAAGATGTTTTTTAAAAAAAATATTATTTATGAAACAGCTCTCTTAGACAAATAATGAATTTTAAAATTATACATAGTTGCTCCACTAAATGCACATGTTCATTAGGGTTATGGTCAAATACATTTGACCGAATACAAATACAATAACATTAATTTTAGATTCCTAAAATATATTTAAACACTATTGTATGTATTCAGCTTGTTCCAAATACATTTTTTAACTTATTTGAACTTAATTTAAACTTAAAAATCTTAATTTATTACTCAAATCTTTAATTAAAAAATTTAAATCAAAATTTTTATTTAAATAGTAATTTTTTTTTTAATTTTGAGGGAAAATTTGACTCTTATTTATATTGTTACTGTATGTAACAAGGAAAAGTTTAATGGTATTTTTTAAAAAAAAATCTTAATCAATCTAGTTTATGGAACTGCAAATATATTTAAATCAAATATAAATACAAATATTAAAAAAAAAAAAATTAAAATACAATACAAATACAAGAATATAGCCTATTATTACCCAATAAAAATACAAATATGTATTTAAATCCAACCCTGATATTCATAACTCTAAAGGGTTTTCATAAGAATCACCAAAAACAATAAACTTAGTTTTTCAGGACTATGAGCTGCACAAGAAAGTAGAAAACCATTGGATAGAGTGAAGCTTGATTAAAAAATAACAAAAAGGACTAAATACAATATAATTACAAATACAATAATAAAGCCTTTTGTTACCAAATACAAATACAAATATGTATTTATATTTTTATGCATGTCTGAATACAGCGTATTACATAGGAAAAGCAACTTTAGGTAAAGTGATAATTAGCCTAAATACCAAATGAAAACACAAAAGAAATTTCTGACAGCCTTATGCGGTAGTGGTGTAGTGGTAGAGCGCTCGCTTCATAAACAAGTGGTTCCGAGTTCGATCCCCACCACGTCCCTGGTAGTACCGCGCTCAACTCGTTTCTCTGCGCAGCGGCCTTGTTCGTCAAAGTTCGTGTTTTGGAGTTATAGAGTTGAGAGAGGGTTATAGCCACAAAATAAGTAGCCTCCTCGTCTGTAGTGGCCTTCTTGGCCTTGAGGAGGTGAAATATAATTAAAAAAAAAAAAAAAAAGATAGTAGTAAGAAGTGAAAGATTGAGAATGAGTCTGACAAAAAAAGAAGTATGAGGCATACATTACATGATCGCATGGTTCAAACCACCCAAGCAAGGAGAAAATGAGCACAAACTGAGGTCAGAAATTAAAAAAAACTGTTTCTATGCCAGCCTATTAGATAAAGTAAGCGTGCTACAAGGAAGAATTATACATTATATAAGTATAAATTTAATTATTTGTTACAAAGATATTTGAATACTGTTTAATAAACATTTGTTTTGTTTTTTTATGTTTAATAGACTTTTTTTTTTATCCTAAAGATTTATATAATAAAAATTCAAAAAAGGATTATTTTTAGTTTTGTCTTTAGTAACCTAATTTATATGTTTAACATAAAAATCATTGTTTAAAAGTAATAATTTTTTTTTTTTTACCTTTATATATGTAACATTCTATTACATAAGGTAAATCTTCAACAAAACTCCAAATTGAACTTTCTGATGCATAAAAATGTCTTGTTCTGTTCATAAACCCATATCCATGGGAAGTATTGCAGCTTGACCAATCACTCCACTGATCAAGCCAAGAAGCTAAAAAAATAAATGCAAGTAATACTTTGGTCAATACCCATCACATAACTAAAAGTACTAAGCTTTGGTCCTTTGAGCAGGAGACTTGATCATCAAATTTTGTTTTTAGAAGTTATAGACTTTAGAAGTTATAACAACAACTTATGATTTATAAAAATATTAATTCTGGAAACAATATTAACATAAAAATATTACCAATAAGAATTTGAAAAACATCTTATTTCATCAAGATTTAGTAACAATAAAGAAAAAAACACTAAAAAAAAACAAAACAAAGTGCAGAAAACAAAGCTGCTTTCATAATCAAAGAAAAAAAATTATAAAATAAATTCAGATAATCAATTTTGTATAGCCACTTTAGGACAACCTTTGATGATAAAAGTTATTCATACTGAAAACAAAGGAGAAGATATCTAGATAATTTCTTTTGAAACATTTAAGCAAATTCAAATAAAAAGGACTAAAAAGATGAAAAAAGGAAACAAAATTGTAACAAAATACCAAGTTTCAAACTAAACTTAAATAAGATAATAAATTTAAAAAGGAAAAAGAAAATTTAATTTAAATTAATTAAAAAAAAAATTTTTATAAAAACTTCTATACAACTTTTGTATTCTTTTTTTAGAGTGGTTGTTGTTTTTAGTTACAAAATTTAATAGAAGTTGGTGAAAAAAACATTTATTTTATTAAAATTTAACAATAATTGAAAGTTTTGATATGCAATTTATTCACAATTTTTATCAGTCCGTTTAATTAAGAAACTAATTTGCTATGTATGCTAGAACTATGAGAAACGTTGTTAACTTTTTTTTATGCATATTTGTATTGAGATCTTTTCCCTTTTAAAAATATTTTTAAAAAATATTTGCTATATTTGATACCTTATCTCAATACTTTTATAATAGGAAAAAAAAAAATTGTTTTTTATTTGTATAATATATCATTTGAATAATAAATTATGTAATGATGGAAAAAATTAAATAAAAGATGATTTCTTTTATAAATGTATCTACCGCATTTGAAGTATGTCTGAAATTGTTTCTTTTATTCCCCCGATTGTTTCTTTTATTGTGCCCAATTTCCAATGTTAATAAGAATTACAAGAGAAAATGAACATAACAGTTGCTCTGTTTAAAAATATGTTTTTAAAAAACTTAGAACACCTTTTAAATAGGCTTCCAAAAATTTCACTAAAAAGTTTAGCAAATTAACAATGCACTAGCCTACAAGCTTTAGGGGCATCGTCAATAACAATAGTTCATCAAGAAACTATCAGGTTTAAATTAGTGTTGATATCAACTTCAACTAAAGCGACTAAAAGTTGACTAGTCGAAATTAGCGGATTCTGAAAAATCTAATGATCGATTTAAGCATCTATGGACATCCTACTAACAGACTAAAAGTTGATTTAGTTGAGTGAAAATCTTAAAATCCTTATATCTTTTCCATTTAACTTTTCAATCGATTTAACTTTCAATCTTTAATTTTATTTCATTAAGTTTTTTTTTTTTACTTTTGTTTACTCGATGCTTGTGATTTTATTTCATACAAGACCTTTCAAAGCTAGCTCGGGGCCCTGGAGCAGAATTAAGTAATGATTCTTCAAAATCTAAATGTCTTCTATATAATCACATTGTAAATATGATTGTATAGACTTTTTGGCATTTAGCAAGTATATAAAGCTTTAAACCATTGGAGTCATGAAAGTCTAATAACCTGACTGAAAAAAAATTGCAAAAAAATTGTTAAAAAATGTTTTTGTTTACAAAAAAAGATAAATTTTTTTTATCTGCTTTTTACTTTGACTTGTATTTTAATTTTGGTTTTGGAAAAACCAAAATTAAACCAAAATTTTTTTAGCTTATATTATATCGATTTTCTATTTCATATAGTCTTCCTTTATATTTTTTATAGTCTTTCCTTTCTTAAAGTATTATAGTTTTATTCCCTCTAGTTTATTATAACTTTATTTTGCTGCAAAATCTTAAAACGCTTACTATATAAAAACGTGGTCAAGTTTTTTAAAAAACTTACTTTTGGACAAACAAGGCATGTGCTTGCCGGGAAAGCTTGCTATTGTCTTTCAATTCTAGATAAGATCTGAAAATGTATTGTAAACATAGTTGGACCTGCTCTATCTGCTAAGCTTGAACCTCTCTCCCATTATTGTAAAATTGCATCTCTTCCTCTTTTCTACAAATATTATCATGGGCACTGTTTAAACAAGCTACTATCTTTTGCTTTATCAACCAAAACTCATTCTCACTCGACTGTCATTCAGCAAAGTCTCATCTTTTTACTGTATCTGTCTGTGCATGCTCTATAACTTTTATTTGTCTAGTTTTTTTTCCAGCACCTTACTCCTTTAGAACTCTCTTCCATCTTCATGTTTTCCTGACTCATACAACCTTCAACTTTTCCAGGCTTCTGTTAACTGTTTCCTTTCTCTTTAACTCAATTCTTTATTTTCTAGTAGCTCCCAACTTAATAGTGGCTGCTGGCAGCCTTGTTGGGAGTGAAACTGATTAAAAAATTATATATAAAGATAAATATCAAATGTCAATTTTGAAATAGGTAATATTACCAGAAGACTTAATAATAACACCATACTGGTACATTCAAATTATCCACAGCAATATATGTTAAGTACACAAATGCTGTTAAACAACTGCAGTAAAAAACTTTATATCATTGGCATCAGAACAAAGTCTGCACAGTGGAGAACAATTGGCTGCTTTCATAATCAAAGAAAAAAACTATAAAACAAATAAATTCAGTTGATCAATTTTATATAGCCACCTGAGGACAACCTTTGATGATAAAAGTTGGTCATACTAAAAACAAAGGAGAAAAAATTTAGCAAATTTTTTTTGAAAAATTTAACCAAATTTAAATAAATCTTGATCTTTAAATAGAGGATTTAAAAAAAATGATTTCTTCTCTTGATCTTGGGTACTGGGTACTGGAAAGAGAACTGCACAGTCAGGAGTGACTGTCAGATCTTGAACGAACTGGAAGAAATTATTATAGTGTTTAGTCCATGAAATTTGAAGTTAGTGATAAAAAGGTTGATAGAAATCTTAATTTTTATATAGGGTTTCATTAATATCCTCAACAACATAAATTTTATTCTCTGGCCAAACTTTAATCAGTGACTGTCTAGAAAACAAACTCTCAGACATGTCTATCATGGAGTAGGATTTAATGGGGTAAACTGTAACAATATAATAATAGATACTGTATAATCTTAGAAACCTAGAAAAATTTCATTCCAAAATGATTGTCGACAGTTAATATCTTTTATTACATGTTTCAAAGATTTAAATTAAGTTGTGGATGACTGTTTTAGTAATTGCTTTGAAATTAATATCAAGCATTTTATTGCTAGATTAAAAGACTAATTAAATTATCTAATAGAGTTTACAAAATAGTATAAGTATACCTTACCGATATAGTATAATTACACCCATAGCATAGAGGGTCAGAATTGTTTAAGCTTACATTGTTCCATTTTGTGAAGAAAATCAATGTGGTTTGTTTTGCAATAGCCAAAATTGCAAAACAAACTGGATTCACTCCAAATTTAAACAAACTTGACCAAAGAGATGTAAAAAAAAGAGATATAAGTTGATACAAATTTAAACAAACTTGACCATGATATAAAAGAGAAAAAAAAAGAGATATAAGTTGTAAAAAGAGATGTAAGTCACAAGACCCATCAAAAGAACATTAAAAAGTTTCAGACTTCTCATTAAGACAAAAATAATTTTATCTTGAAAAAAATACTAACTAACTTAATAAATATTATGTCATAATTTAATTAAATATACATCTGTAAATATATAAAGCTTTGTAAAATTTGTCATACAATTTATCTTCTACCTGCAAATCACCATTCCAACAACATAACACTCAATGCATATCTAATAATAGAATTCAATGCACATCTTTACTTAATAGTATTTTCTAAAGCCAATATTAGAAAAAAAAGATCAAATATTTTCTTGCAAGAAAAGCATTTAAATATTCTAAAATTAAAGTTTCCCCAGCCAATAATATATATATATATATATATATATATATATATATATATATATATATATATATATATATATATATATATATATATATATATATATTTATATATATATATATATATATATATATATATATATATATACATATATATATATATATATATATATATATATATATATGTGTGTGTGTGCGTGTGTGTGTGTGTGTGCGTGTGTGTGTGTGTGTGTGTGTGTATATATATATATATATATATATATATATATACACACACACACACACACACACACGCACACACACACACACACATATATATATATATATATATATATATATATATATATATATATATATATATATATATATATATGACGAAAAAAAAAATTTTAGTTGGATAAAATATGACTTGTGGGTCAATTTATAACACAGTGTTTGCCATTAAACTTTCTTTATATATATATATAAATATATATATATATATATATATATATATATATATGACGAAAAAAAAAATTTTAGTTGGATAAAATATGACTTGTGGGTCAATTTATAACACAGTGTTTGCCATTAAACTTTCTTTATATATATATATATATATATATATATATATATATATATATATATATATATATATATATATAAAGAAAGACATCATTTACAACTCCAAATGACCTCATTTTTTATAAAGACAAAACAAATACAAGGATAATAATTCTTGATAATAGTTCTTGGACTAGGATAATAGTTCTTGGACTACCTGTAGTATTTGTTGGAAGAACTCAAGGTACTAGCATTTTTTTTAATAACACTGTTTTTATCAACATAAAATGTCAAACGATTTTACTACTAAGTCTACATAAAACTACATGAAACATTCACTGAAGAGAACAACTGTGAACCCTGCAGTAATCAATACCAATAAAATGGAAAATATTCTCATATAAAACACAGATTCTTCAGCTTTAGTGGAATTTCTCAAGATTATATTTCTTAGAATGATATATAAAATGTCAGACATTTAAAAACAAGTACAACAAATTGAACATAGATAAATGGTGACAAAAACAGAATTGTTGGATGTTAAGAACCATCAATACCACTACCCTAATATAAACAAAATTGTTGGTTGTTAAGAACCATCAACACTGCTACCCTAACATAAACAAAATTGTTGGTTGTTAAGAACCATCACTATCACTAACCAAACTACTACCTAACTACTACCCTAACTACACCTATCCTAACATAAACAAAACAACTGTGATGTATTAGAAGCAGTGCAGAATAGAAGCCTACTTTAAATTAAATTTAAAATTATATTATTGGTAATAAGTAAAACAGCAGTTTTTTAATTGAAACTAAATATCAGACATTAATAAATTTTACTGAATATTTGAATAAAAATTCCTGACTTCCCTACATTTTTGAAAGTTAAATTTTTTATCAGTCGACAAAAGACTCACGTCTTTTGTTTAACTTTAGAAAAATGTATAAAAAACATAATATGAAAAGGTGTATATTGTATTAATTTGATATTTTCAAAGACTAGCTAGTTTAATATACTTTTAATATATATTGTTAAATTATAAAAATCATAAAATTTAATATCCACAACAACCATAAATGTTAATGCCACTTACAATAAGCAGGGGTGTTAAATTAAATTTGTATCAATTAGGATATAATATTTCAATAGGCCCACTAAATAATAAAGAATAAAAATTATACCAATTTAAAACTTTTATAATTATAAATTATTAAAAATTTGCTTGTATCAATTTATTCAATTGCACTTTTTGATAACTTAATATAGCGTACCTTTGAGTAAAAACCTCTGAGACCGCTAATCTTTCTATAGTATTTTTATACCAAAATGTATAAGTTAGGAGGTTCGGTAACCAAAATATATAAGTTAGGAGGTTAGGAGTTAGGGTTTCGTTTAAAATCTCTCATATTATTTTCTCACTTATTATATATATTAGGACCATACAAATTTACATCAATATTCATGAGGTATATATATAACAAAATAAAGTTGTGTTAGGAGTACTGATAATCTCAATAAGTAAATAACAAGAAATAAAACAATATGATATGTATAAAATAACTGTTTCAATTTAAGTTATATAAAAATATTTTAAATATTTTTTTAAATATTTTAATTAAATATTAAAATTAAATTGTACACATTATATTAAATAAAGTTGTTGAGGTGTAAAAACTATATTTAAATATTTTAATTTTGATTGTTTATTAAGCATTTAAATATTTTCTAATTTTTAAAATCATAAATAAAGTTTCAAAAACAAAAACAAAAAAGAGAAAACCTTTTAATGCGAGGGAAAAGGAATGATAAATATAGCATAAAATTCAATGTATCTCATGTATACAACACTACTTATACTAAAATGGACTATTTATATGAAATATATTTAAGAATTCTTACATGAAATTCCATTGACAACAAAAAAATTCTTGATGAAGCCCTGTGTTGAGTTCCATGGATTTGAAGCATAAGTTATAACATTTTTATAACTTTGAAGTTGATTACTTATATTTGTGAAAACAATGCTCCCATTTAATTTTATTTTGTAATTGTAATTTCCATCAATTAAAATTTGACATATTTCAATGTTCAACCATTGACTTATTTCAAGTGGCTGTATGTAAGAAAAGCTATAAAAATTTCCATTAAGTATAACCTTGATCTCCAAAACTCCATTTGAACTATAACTAACACTTAGAATAGGATTTCCATCATTGTAAGCATTTTCTTCAGAATTAACAGTAACATAAATAATATTGTAAGAAGTAACAGGGCTCAAAACTTGCTGATCTTGATCTGATTTGTAATCAAATGAAACTACAAACTCTTTTTCGAGTATTGATATTTCGGTAAGATTATTTCCTTCAAACAATTCAATACCAGCTTCATCAATAAGGTTAACTACAATATTAAAATATAAAATAGAGCATAAAATGTAAACATTTTAGAAGAGTTTAATATACATAAATATATATATATATATATATATATATATATATATATATATATATATATATATATATATATATATATATATATATATATATATATATATATATATATATATATATATGTAGACAACACAGGTAAAACCACAGATGTAACATTTTTCTCATTTTGAGTAAAATGAAATTTAGTGTGTAGCGACATTAGATATCTGTTTATTAATAATTTATTTAATTAAAACTATATTTTTCTGACATTTTAGTCCTTACACCATATAAAAACGCAGTTTTTGTGCTAAATACAAGAATTATTTATTCACAGTGTTCTTTTGAAAACAAGACACTCATTTTGGACCTCTGTGATTTTTCCATTGTAATCTCATCAACTCATAAATTACGTTAACTTGTAACCTTTTAGAGCACTTAGTTTCAGTTTATCAGGCACTTCGATCATTGATCTAAACATATGGAATGTATCACAGATAAAATTAAATACTTCCATTTTTCCATATAATTAAACTTTAACTAGCCTTTAATATTTCAATTTCTCTAAGTGAACATGTCTTAAATGAACAAACAACCAAGAAGTTTGGCTTTCTTGTATCATGTTTATATACAATATTGAATTGTTATAGTTTTTTGTGAGATTGTTTAGTGCTTCTTGATAATAAAATAAAATTAAAACTTTTCATTTTGTATTTTGTCTAGCACATAAATTGCAAACCAATTTAATATCCTTTACATTTGAGACAATTGATAGTTTAAAATCATGCAGCATAGAACATACAACATCAGACCATCTGTTTAAAACAGTTTCATCATAGCAATAAAAATGTAATTTTTGAATTTAAAATATATTTGAGTTAAAAAAATAAAATAGGTATTACCTGGAATAGTATACATATTGGTTTTAAACATTTTTTTTTTGAAATTTAAGCAAATTACTTCACAATTAAAAAGATCAGAATTAGAATATTATTGAGTCCATTTTCTACTTTTTTAGGATACAAAAGGTACACCTTATCAATTAAAATAAAATTTGAAATAATTCAAGAAAAAATATTTGTCATTATAAAAAAAAAAAATTTATATATATATAAAGTAAGTTTATATTTATATATATATATATATATATATATATATATATATATATATATATATATATATATATATATATATATATATATATATATATATATATATATATATATATATATATATATATATATATATATATATATATATATATATATAAAGAATGCTTATCAAAGCATGCAATACTATATATATATATACAGTATTGCATGCTTTGACAAGCATTCTTTTTTTTTTAAAGACATTAGTCTACCTCTTAAACGACAGTATATAAACTATAAAAGTATCGACACTTCAATATTTAAGACATGCAGATAATAATTTGTAAAACAGTGACTTAGGAATTTATATCTGGATGGGACTGATTTTTATTGGTCATTTATCAAAAATGCTTTAAGGAAATCATAATGATTCTAATACAGTAAAGTTCAAATCAGATTAATTATTAAATGGTCTTATAAATGTTAAAAATTTTGTTACAAATAAAAATTATGATTGTTGTGTGAACACAGCTCATTTCGTGTTAGTTGGATCATATTCATTTTTTAAATCATTATTGAGAAAATCTAAAATATCAATTATGAGTGTAGGAGAAATTGATAAACAAAACTTTATGGTTGTTGATAGGTTTTGTCACATTGTCAAGTAAAATAATGCCTCCAAACAATAAAGATTTAGACTTACCTTTAAAAGAAGATATCTATAAATTAAAGATATTTGCACTTTAGGCATCAAACATTTTAAAAGCCTTCAAAAAAATTCAGCAAAATTTACTAACTACTTAAATCGTATAATAGTTTTTTTCAAAATCAACTAGAACAAGGTATTATAGAACAAATACATGAAGAAAGTAAAGTTTTTTTAAAAAGTTCATTATCTACCACACCAATCAGCAAAAGATGATAAGGTGACCAGTAAAACTAGGATTGTTTTTGACGCAAACAGTTTGGCTGATGATTCATTATTAAATGACTTTTTATACAATGTATTTAGATTTAAAAATAAAAATTTGCTGATTCAACAATAATTTTACACAGGATTAAAACATTGATAAAGTAAAACAATCATTTTTAAAAAAAAAGAATTTTAAAAGTTAGAGAGACATTAGATATTTTGTATCGGAGATATTTTGGATCCCATATTAACTCAGCTGATATAATATCCAGAGGCACAAACTTAGCAAATTTATTTGATAATGAAATATGGATTATTGGATAATAACTTCTCTAAAATGTTTCTAAAGATTGACCAAAAATTGATTTAAAAAAACTAACTGACAAAATGGAGGAAGGCTTCAGCTTCAAATCATATTTATATAGACTTAATTTGACATTATAATGTCAAATCGAATATATTCAATTTAATAAATCATTGACATTTTTTGATTTAATAAATATACATTTTTATTAGGAGTAACAGCATTTGTCATACCATTTATTAAGAATTTAAAACTTAAAAGAGATAAGGAACTTTTATTTAATTTAGATTCCATTGAAGTAGAAGCATTAAAAATCATGATAAATTTTGCTGAAAAAAACACAAATTCCTTATAAAAATTGCAGACAACTATAACTAGATATGAACTTACAAAAAGCAGATACAATTCATTTTTTATTCGACTAATGACTACAAGATGCACTAATTACAAATGACAAAAGAATCCAATATTCTTACTTGGAGATACAGAATTTACAAACATACTTATTAAGTTATCTAATTAAGAATATTTAATGCTATTTAGTTATGCACATTGGTGTTAAATAAACTATAAACCGAATTGGAACTCAGTTCTGGATACTAAATGTCAGTTACATTAAAAAAATAATCAGAAAATGTTGTATTTGTAGACGCTTTGAAGAACTGCCTTATTCTCCTCCTGCTTTAGCCTTAAATAATTAGAATAATGTTCATGTTATGTTCATGTCATGTTAACATTATTAAATAAGGATCATACTTTTAACTTTTCAGGTCTTGACAATTTTGCTCCATTATATGTTAAATATATATATGAAAAAAATAGTTTATATAAGGTATGATTATTTTTATTTACATGTGCTTTATTTCATTTACACGTGCTTCATGTTTAGATTCCCGGCAGCATATTTTGAAACCCTATACAGGCTCAGAATAGGCAGAAATATGAGCAATCTGATTCGCTGACTTTGAAAGAAAGGCAAGTGCGCTTTTGTTGAACAATATATTTTAAATCTAAACAACAGATTTTCAAAATAAATTTCAAAGTAATGATAAACTAAGTCTTGTGTTACTATCAACATAGAGAATCTATTTTTTTACTCTATAGAATATTTAAAAGGTATCAAAATCTATTTGTACAAGAGAATTTCCACTCGTAAAAATCTCAAAGTTTAATAAAGTTTCAATAAAGTTCTTGGTGAAATGGAAAAAAAGTGTAATGCGAAAAGATCTATAAACATATTTTTCACAAAATATGTTCTTAGCCTTAAAGCATACTCAAATACAAAGTTTATATACAGTTGTACAAGACTACTAGTGAAGTACTTTTGCATATAAAGATTATATGCAGTTTTACCAAACTACTGGTGAAGAACTTTATTTATAAATTGATTTATATGTTAATTATAAAGAGTTGAACATTAGTATTTTTAAATAAAGAAATTTTGTACTGATTGAAAAACTAGCTTACATGTTCCATGTCAATATATTTTTGTTATAATAAAATGTGTTTTGTATGTATAAACTCTTGAAATATTCAACATGAGTTTGCATGTGTGCAATTCGGCAAGATTTCTAAGTGTGTTTAACGTCAATTGTAATGTCTATGTTCTATAAAGCATGGTCAATACAAGGTTTTAATGCAGTTGCACCAGAGGTTGTTCTAAACTCGTTGCTGCATCTTTACACCGTCTTGTTAATTATAAATAGTTAAACATTTAAATTTTTAGAAAAATATTTTTTTTACAGATATTTTACCAAACTAGTTTACATGTTCCATGTAAATCCACGAACTCTGAAGAAGTTACTGTTTAACCTAAATATTGTGAAGGCTGATAAGGTGTACATCAATATTTTCCTTTACTTAATTTTAATGAAACATCATCCTTAAACCTTCAAACACTTTGTGAAAATTAAAAAAGTTTGACAGGGTATTTTATATATATATATATATTAGTTTTAGTAATATTTTAATAGTAATATTAATATAGTTTTTTTTTTTTTTTTATTATTTTTTTTTTTTTTTTTTGGGAAGTTCTTTTCATTATTATTTTTTTTTTTGTTGATGTTGTTTGTTTGTTTGTTTCGGGTTTTTTTTTATTTTTTTTTTACAAGGTCTTTTTGTTTTGTTTGTTAAGAGTCTGCTTTTGAATTAGTCTTGGACTATTTGCATTGTTCCTTTTCAAAAAAAAAAAAATTATTGTAATATTTATACTTTATTGTAAACGATATCCATTTTTGTGAAAGATATATTGATTGATTGATTGAATGAATGATTATTATTATAAACGTTTTTTGACATTTGTTTTGAATTAAATCTACGCGCAAGAGCCTCTCTTTCAAAATTAGCGAATCAGATTGCGCAAACCTCTGCCAATATAAGGTTTGAAAATATGCGAGCGGATCCAGGCAGTAAGTGTAGCCATTGCTACAGTTTTTTTTTTTTTCTCTTTTTATTTTTTAAAGACGTTTTTTTTTTTTTATGTTAAAGAGAAAAATAATTTAAATAAGATATGAAGCCTCCATATCAGGGTTGCCAGATTTTTTTTCGGGCACAAACCAAAAACGGAAAAAAACCAGACCAAAAAAAAAAAAATCATAATTTTTCGTTTTTAGGTTTTGCTTATAATTTATATTTTAAAAAAATGCTTTTTTCAAAAATTTATCCTTAAATATTAAAATTTAATTTGTAAGAAGGGGAGAAGAATGAGCTTGTGAATATTTAATGGGGCCAGGCCAGTGAATATTTAAAATGGGGGCCAGTCCAGTCTTCAAAGCGGCGTGTGGAAAGTAGTTCGCTCCCAAACACCCATAGTAAACCCGACACTATCAACCTGTAAAATATAAGATAGATGTGGGTATTAAGGCCCACCTAACAGACTTTTGGTCATCTAGGCATTAAAAATTAAGTTTAAAAAAATATTTTAAATTGCTGCTTAAGATTAATCATTCCTTGATGTAAAAATGATATCTGCATATTGAGAAATTAACTATGAAAAAAGTTGTTCATATTTTTTTAACATGCCTAAAATAGGTCTTTTTACCTCCTTTGGGTGGTAATAAGACCCATGTAAAAAATACAAAAAATAAAGAAAGAAAAAACAGAAAAAAGTTAGGAAACATTCTTTTAATGCATAGTTTATCTCACATTTATGAAATAATAAGCAATCTTGCATATTTATATACTTCAAAAGAACCAATTTCTTATACAATAGTGAATAACAACAA